AATGACCCTCAAGGATCTGTGCCAAAGCACCAAATGTTCCTGCTGAGCTCAGGAGTATCCAACATCTCCATCAGGAAAGGGCATCAAGAGTTTCTAGCAAATGGACTTCTTTTCAGGATATGAAATTTGCTTTCCACAAATATTTTGCCATTGACATTCAACTCTTACAATATTAACTAAAAGTGGTAACAGGGATGACACGATTAATGTGGTGAATGGGTGTTTGTGATTATGGGAGTTTGGTTTATGGGTAAAGAGATTACATCATTCATTGCTTGAAGCCATGTGAGCTTCTTAGAGCAAGAGCATCTCTCTGCTTAGATGGCACACAGCACACTGGAAATATATAATAAATTATCAGCTCAAGGAAATATATCATAAATTATAATAATTAGTGCAATCTTTTCTCTCAAGTAAATTTTGAATGTGACAGGAGTCACATTGCACTTACACCTGTAACAATTACTGGTGTAAGTAAAGGCTATGGAGTCACACCCGTCAATTGTAGGTCATGTAGGGCTGAAGAACAGAAATATCACGAGTTGTTAATCTGTATGTTTAAACACTTGAATCCCCATTAAAAAAAAAAATTAAAAAAAAGAAAAATAATAGTGAAGGCAGCCATAGTGTACTTGCAGAAAACAGCAGCAAATATAGATTTATTAATTTGGTCCCCAAACTGAATATTTTTTGATTTTTTATTTAAACAAAAGAATGGGAGAAAAGATACTGTTGTGCCTTCTAAGAGAGAAGAAAGAATAAAGATATCCCTCAGAAATTAAACTTCTTTTTAGAGTACCACTTTCAAGGCCTAAATATGGGTAAGATTTCCAACCTTTGTGAAATAACACTTCTGCTGGTGAGCAGGCACTGTGTCTCCTTCCTCAGGCAGCAAGTATGGTCTGCAAAGCCACCCTTTAAGCTACGCATCCAGTGCCAAGAGAGCTAATTTAAATTTGATAACAAATGGCTCTGCTTTTGAAACAAATGTAGCCTGGCAACTTCAACTGAGAACCCTTCACAGGGCCTCAATTATGTATGCAGCTTCTTTAAGAAATAGTTTCACACATCTGACCCAAGGCCCATGATGCTGCTGCCATGAAATGAAACTGTATGTAGGCAATGGTTCATTTCTGCACAACCTCCACAATTCTGTACTCCCTTCACACTGGCTGCACATGTGAAAAACAACCTAAATCACTTATTCAGGACCGGTTTCTTGCATTTCTTGTATTGTCTGATCCGCTACTGTCTGAATACATATTTAACACATATGATCTTTGTTCCAGCACTTAACCTGCACTCTCTTGTTTTGGTTTTTTAGGAATTTCACACCACTCTGCTGGGCTGCCCCCATCAAAGCTGCTGTATGAAACCAGAGAGACAGACAACTGGCTAAGCACCCACACCATTTCATTATTTTTTTCCTCTGCCCCCCCCCCCAATGGCTGCTTTGTCTGTGTGCATACACCAATAGTAAATGTCCTTCTGTTATTGTACAACCTATTCGATATGTCAAGTATTCATATGCTAATAGTGGTACAGTTTCTCACTTTTCCACAGATAAATTGTAAGGATTGTTACAGACAGTGAAACACAAAGGAAAAAAGCTTCTATTTCAGTCATGATAAATTACTTTCCATTAAAATAACATGCAACACATCCTACTGGCTGTTATTCTTTCTATTCATGGTGAGTTTGCCTGTTTTTCTTTCTTAGAACACTTAAAAAATATTTAGGTGATATAGTCACAGTTGGTGCAAATATTTTAATTTCCTTGATTTGCTTTGTACTTTGATGATGTGAACTTAGTTTTTGCAGTTTTCACTGGCAATGAAAGTTTTGCAATGGGCACAGACATTGTTCTCCCCTACGGAACAAGCATAATTTTTTAAAGCTTACAGTAGGTGGAATTTGAAAACTGAGGTAATTCCTTTTCCATGTTAGGAAAATATGCCATAGTATGCATGCCCAAAATCCAATACTTAGAAATGCTACTGGCAGAGGATTCTCTAAATATAGCATAAAGCAGGAGCAGAAGAAAATATCAGCTAACATCTTTTTCTCCCACCAACTTTTTGTTCTGTTGGAAGGTCAACATTTATTCAAAGCCTCAACAAAATATGAGTTAAGAATAATTTATATTTTGTACCTGATGTAAGGTAGAACTTTTTTCAGAGCCCATATTTTATAAATATGGAATAGGTATTTGACACAGATAAAATGAAGTTGCTTTTTAAGCAAAGAGTTTTTAAAAAAACATGAAAATGGGTTTGCACTTCTACTGATTGAAAATGTGTGGGTTTATGTAACATAGTCAAGGATTATAGCTGTGTCCTTGATTCAGACACAAAATCACGTTTATGTAATTACTTTGCTCCATAGTTAATCCATAATTGTAAAGAAATTCAGAGTTAAATCCATGAGTACAAAATACACTGCTAAATTAATTAGCCACTGGCAGATATCTGTGCCACCCCACTGAAGTCCACTACGCCCTGCCACAGCCCAGGGATGCAAGCAAGGTCAGCTATAGATAAATGCTATACCTGTGATTTGTACATTTCAGGTTTACTTGCCTCTGTGGATGTAGAAGGTAAAACATCAGTGCCATCAAAATGCATGCAACATCAGGTCCCTGCAGATATAACAATAAAAGATTAGGCAACGTGAAAGTAAGACCCCCTGTGTGGCATCAGCTCATCTGTAACAGATTGTGCTGTATATTTATGATGTATATTTAACCAGAAGAGTAATTCTACATTTGATAATTTCCCAGACACCCCCTGAAGTCCTGCATCCAGTGCTGGGGCAACAACACAAGAGGGACATGGAGCTGCTGGAGAGGAGGTCATGGTGATGCTCTGAGGGCTGGAGCAGGTCTGCTCTGGTGACAGGCTGAGAGAGCTGGGCTGGTTCAGCCTGGAGAAGAAAAGGCCCCAGAGAGACCTTAGAGCAGCTGCCACTGCCTGAAGGGGCTGCAAGAAACCTGGAAAGGGGCTTTGGACAAGGGCCTGTAGGGACAGGACAAGGGGAATGGTTTTAACCTGACAGAGGGGAGACTGAGATGAACTCTTAGGCAGAAGTTCTTCCCTGTGAGGATGCTGAGGCCCTGGCACAGGTTGCCCAGAGAAGCTGTAGCTGCCCCATCCCTGGCAGTGTTCAAGGCCAGGTTGGATGGGGCTTGGAGCAACCTGGTCTACTGGGAGGTGTCCCTGCCTGTGGCAGGGGGTTGGAACTGGATGAGCTTTATGGACCCTTCTAACCCAATTCCATATTCTATAATTCTATAATTACAAAACAATGTGAAATTCTACCAATACACAACAAATGAAAACAAGCAACTGTTTAGTGGGGGGGGTAGGCCAGTGAAGTTTGATTTATAAAATGCATAAGCTTTCTTATTTTAAATGTGCTTGATTAAGTTTGCAGGGATCTTGGGAATCTGTTATTTCATGGTGGAAGTTAGAGGTTAGGGAAGGAATTAGTTGGTGTGGTATTTGAAGAGGGATGTTGTTTGTCATACTTCAAGCAAAAGCATTAAATCCAGTGTTCTGAAAATGGCAAAAGTTGGAAGAGAAATGGGGATGCAAGCCTTTGATGACCCTCTATCATGTGAAACACTGCTCTTCTACTTCATAACAATGTGAGCATCAGCCTCAGAAAACATCAGTGCCCATTTAGCGTCCTTGACTATAAAATGTGTGCTTCTGGAGAGATGCACCAACACGCACATTCAGCTCTCCAGAGCTGCAGATTCTTAATTTGCTTTCCTGCTCCGTGAGTCCACACTGTGGATTTTATACGTGATGCTGGTGTTGCGATGTCCTCCAGGTGTTGTCTAGAAGAATTTTTTCTTGTGACTTCCTTTTACAAAGCAATTGTGCCTATATCAAACTGAAAAACAAATTACTCCATAATCTCCTCTGAGAATTTCTACAGGTGTCTGAAACAACCACGGTCAGAGCAGAAAATAAATGTCACAATGTCAGGGCCCCACGTTTTCTGAGAGAATGAAGTGGGGAAAATAAGAGGAAGAGGACATTTGCAGCTTAGGTCTATGACCATGTAATGGCCATTGAGCTGATTTGTGCTGCCCTTGGAGGGCTGATAGCTCATTATTCATCCCTTGCACTTGCAGGCAAGTGTATAGCTGCTTATTAAAGAGCATGGTTCTGCAAACATTTTTGCATTTGCTTGACTTTAAGTATGCAAGTAATCCTATTGGGGTGAACCATCAGCAACTGATTCTGGGAATAATGACATTGCCGACCTCTCAAGACTAGTATGAGAGCAAGAATCAAAGCCCTAATACATTGAAGGCTGATGAAAACCAGTTTTCACCATATTTTTACCTAGTTTGCTCTCATAAAAATTTTCACAATATAATTTCTTTTTTTTTCTGTAGCTGCTTTTGTAATTACAGTGAGGGGAAAAAACACAAAAACATGTTAAAAAAAAAGAACAAAATGTGACTATTCAATACATATATTGCACCACCGAAAAAAGAAAATACCTAGAACGCAGAACAGTCAAGGGCTTTTTCCTCAAGTACGGCACTCAAAAGAAATAATTAAAATAATGAAATTTACACTAACCATGACAAGTTCTATCTGAACTATGAGAAGAAAAAGTATGCATATTTTTTAATAAGACACCTTCTTCCAGGCGTCAGTCAAAAAAACCTGATGCTTGCAAAGCCAAATAAATGTGCATTTTAAGAGCTGATCAGTCCTTTAAAAATAGCAGATAAAAGTACTAAGATATGCATTTGGAAATGCCAAAATCTACAGCTGTATGTTACAGCTATGTGAAATCAGTTACTATTTTTAGAACAGTTACAGAACAATCAGGATAATATGCAACTAAGTTGTTCTAAAATGAACAAGGAACAGGATAATGCATTAGTTCTAAGAATGCTGGAGGAAGTTCTGTGGTTTTTGCATCCCTGCTGGAACACTGCTCTACTTGGCAGCCAAAAAATTGTGTTGCCTGTTTTTCTTGTGTAATCACGATTTTTGGCTGTCTTCATTTTCTTCATTTTCATTCACACCTTTAATTCTAAACATTCCTTTCCAACGTATCCTTACCTTTTCTCTGCCCACGAGGCTTCCGATTTGAAAACATATGCCATTTTACTACTTAAACCTTTCCTTTTCTTGCGTTCTTGCACACTGAATGCAATCAAGTCAAAATCACTGATTCTTGGACAGCAACCAACTTGCTATGATTAAATCTTTCTTCTGTCCATCAAACTGAGATCTAAAGGAGGAATATATATTATTAGATGTTCTGTCTTTGGAGACAAGGAATGATCATCACTAATTTTTAGCAGAACTGTCAATACACTGCTGAAGAATCTACTTTGCATGGCTTACAGCAAGTTGTAAGGCACCTACATATTTCTTACAGTCTTTTTTTCCTGTTTTTCACTTTAACAACTCCAGTTATCAGTAAATTTCTAAACTGTTGACAAAACTTCTGATTTTATAAAGAATTAAGCATTGACAGGAATGCTTACATTAAAAGCAGTAGCTAGTGATAGCAATGCCATGGGTAATACTTATTTTCTGGAACCTGTCAAGAATCAGCTCTAATTCTTAGATAACAACTAGATAACTTAGATAAAAAATAAAGTAGAACATGCAAAGAATTATTTTTAAAAGCATTAAATTTTAGTTTAAAACTTCTAATAGCTGTTGTGTAACACCATGGAATGCTATAAATTTGTTTTTCCAGTAAATTATGTAGGATGGAATTAATAAACTCTCTTTTTTTTTCTTATTCCCCCGCCTCCCCCCCCACTTGTAATTTCACAATCAATGTAACATTTAAATAAAAGTGTACATTTAAATAAAATTGCACCCTGTCCAGAGTTCTGAGCTTTCAGTGCTGGGCTTTCAAATTCCCACTTCATGCAATTGGCACCTCATCTGCAAATCTGCAAGTCAGACTCCTGACTTTGCACTTTATTTGCAAATACAGTAGTTAACCTCTATCTCCAATCTTGTTTATCACTTTAACATTCAAGCACCATTTCTGTTTGCATTTGGGATTGCCTCCAAAAAACAATGGTTTAATGTGCTATCTTTAACCTGAAACACTGAATATGAGATTGTTTCAGGATCAATTTGACAATTGTCAGCTCTGTGAGATATTTGATCTTCCATAATTTAGTAATATATTTGAAAACCAGGCAAAGTGATCCATGTTAATGTAACAATACTCTGTCCTCGGTAACAATGGTTTCATTATAAGCAAGGGCTCAATTAAAAGCAAATAAGTTGAGAGCAAAGTGTACTGAGAGACTATTAATGGGCTCCAGCCACCAGGCTTTTCTTCTTCTTGCTTCAAAAAAGAGCAGATTTCTGGGTGTTAATTGAGAAACTTACCTTGGAGGTAAGTGTTCCCACTCACTGCAAAAAGTGAAAAAGGACAAAGACAAGAAAGACAGACACAGGTGCTGATGAGCTTAGAGACTCACTCAGCTGCATACAGGCTTTATATCTCAAACACCTCATGAAAAAAGCAAGTTTTCAGTTGACTTGAGACATAGCCATGTGTGGCAGAAGAAATGAAAGACAGGATGTTAGAGTGGAAAATGAGAAATGCTGAACCTCCACGTCTCCTCAGGAGAAATCATTCTCCTTGAAATGTGACAACTGTTGCCATCTCCCCCACTGCCCTGTAGCATCTAAAGATGCTACCTGAATAATAGCTAAACCCTCCTAGATTACTTGTATTTGCCTTTGATTTTGTAAGCTCTTTGTCATTCTTTCAAATTAAAAACAAAACCAAACCAAACTGTACTGTATTTATGAAGGTCAAATATGAAAGGGCCGGACTAATGATTCTAGACTCCGAATATTGCTCCTATTGCTCCTTTTTCTTTCCTGAACTCTCTTTGTCAGTATTTCTCTTGCAGCACATAAAATCACCCACATAATGTTTATAAATTACTGGCAAAATGAGTAGCTCAGTGCCTCCTAGTGAAAGTATAAACAATCTTAAGTCAATTGACTACATTTCTTCTCAGGAGTATTCACACAGTTTGACTTTAGGCAATTAATTTAGATCTTTTAAATCAACCCAATGTCATTTAACCCTTTCCATTGACTAGAGAGCCAAGATACTGTGGTGGTAGATATATTCATTCACATCTGAACCTAATTCCCTATGCAACCTTTACTGCAACATCGACTAACAATCTACCCCCCAAACTTTGTCTTTTTTAATTTTATTTTTTTTTCCCGATAATATCTGGATTCCTCTTAGAATCTTATTATTTTGTGTGCTGCTTGGTTCGAGTACATGTGACTCAGTTGTTATCATCAGCTCCTGATTTTACTGTAATTGTAGTCCCTGGGAGATTAGTGGAAGAAGGAATTCCTCATGCTCCAGCAAAAACCAAAAAATTTTATCTACTCAGAATATTCTAATCGGGTTCAATCTTCGGGGCTCAGAAAACAGAACAAAAAGTTATGGTCATTCCTTTCTTTTTTTTTTTTTTTAAGTAATGTTAAATCCACAGCTGCCACTATAGTGTTGGGGGACTGAGGTTGTTGACTGTTTGCTTGTCTGAGCATTGAAACAACCTGCAGGAGCAACCAAAGTATTCCTGTGCTATCTGCTTTAAGATGAGCATGGTACCCAGGACACATGGCACCTGCCTGGGATACAGACCTCAACTGGTGTCAAGAGCATGACCCTAGACCCTAAGGGTTAGATCAAGGCCAGGCTGGACTGGGCTTGGAGCAACCTGGTCTCTTAGAAGGTGTCCCTACCCACTGAAAGGGGTTGGAATTGTATGAGCTTTAAGGTCCCTTCCAACCCTAACCAGTCTATGATCAACTCCATGAGTTATATATGAAGAAGTAGAGCTGATTCTATGATTCTATGATCTAGCTCACCACAACAATTCAGGCCAATTTGAGACTGATCCCATGTCCCTATCAATCACAGCCCACAATGGTTTTTGACTCTGCAGTCTTCTGAAACTTGGCTCCAGTGGAAAGGCTTGTGGCATGCAACTGCCATAGCTGACCATGATGTTGCCTCCCAGAGAGCCATTTGGTAGGACTCAGAATTCATTTACAGACCTGACACGACCTGGAAGAAGAGAGCAGCACAGCAAAATAACAAGAGCTTCATTTTCTTTTGCACTTGTGCAAATCTATCAATAGTGATAGATTGCCTTTTAAGCAATTATTAGGGTCGTTGTTGGAGATGAGCTAATAAAAACATGTATGTAGCATATTCACATGGGAAAGTTAAGATGCCTTTTTTTTTTCTTATTATAGACGAAATAGTATTATATTTTTGAGTCTGCTTGATTTAGTTCTCAGATTACTCTTATAAAGTGCTTTACTGTGTTTCCATGAGGTTGATTGTTTTTTCTCCACAAGAAAAATAGCTTCCTCCTTGATGATTTCCAAGTTTCTCTTCTTTTGCTTAGCTGGACTGGGGTACCCATGTGTCCTAAGAGTTCATTCTCAAATAAATGGAACATGTCATGTATCTCCCAGGTCATTCCTCAGGAAAGTCCTTGTATATATGTATTTACTCAATACAGATAACATTTTTGCACAGGATGTCTTGATACTTGTTATTTATAGTACGAAAAGCTTTTGGCAACACATCCACATCATTAAGTAACTCTCCCTTCAGCCCAAAACAATGATATTCTCAACTGAAATGTCATGCAGCTGTGGATCTCATCTGGGAGGAAGCAGACAGAAACTGCAATGCGTAATTAATACTGCCGACATGAAAATGGCCATAATTAAGCAACAAAGTCAGCATTCCATTAAAGTTATTGTAGAACCTCACTCCTTTTATTGTGGTGGTGTGACAATTTTGGCATAGAAAATAAATTCAACATAACATCAGCATGTCATGTCCCTGCCCATGGCAGGAGGGTTGGAACTAGATGATCTTAAGGTCCTTTCCAACCCTATCTATTCTATGATTCTATGATTTTACATTGTAAAAAGTATTGTAAGGATTTCCCCACCCCCCCAAGTCTTCTTGCTGGAGCTTAAGCTTGTGGTATTTCCTGAATTCTAGTAATACCTGAACTTCATTATTTCTATTTAATAAATAATGTCTATCCGTTTATCTGTTCTTGTTCATGGGTGGCAATGGAAGACAGAAAGATGGATTATACACTGGTTAGTATACCCTATATATTAACCCATTAAAATACGCATCTATTTTTCTATTGCTTGCATATGGAGTCTTCAGAAAACTGCAGTGTAAACTAAACCTTTATGAGCCCAATTGTCCAAGTTAGACACTGGGGTGCAGGAAGGTGATTTAAATCTAGCCTAATCAAAGCTAGAGCATCCTACAGGGCTTCATTTGGTCTCTACTGGCAGAAATGCTGGATGCTTACTAGAAAAGCCAATATTTAACAGGCTGCAAAAAAAAAATGTTGAAGACTCATTAGTATCATGTAATCTCTGAGTGTGTCTGTATCTCTCAGTATTGAAATATTTATGAAGTGGAGATCATGGTTTATCTATCTGTAATTTTCTGACCCAAATGGTTTCCAGACACTGTGAGTGCTGAAAAGAGAAAGAAGGAAAGAAGGAAAGTAATGTAATTTCACTGTATTTGTCTTGATCTGCTCTTATTTTTCCGGTATGTACAGTGTCTATGCTTTTCTCATTACAGAATATACAACTCAGTTGTAAATTCTGGATTAAAAAAAAAATCTTTTCTTATTTACATTTAATTGCATTTCTTAGTTCCCATATAATGACATATAATAACATATAATGTAACAGTTCTGGATCTGGGACAAAAATGTGCAGGGACTGTGGAGTGACCAGAAATGTAGACAGAGAAGATGCTTTCCAGCAACAAGTGGCATGTCTTGCTTCCACTGTCTAGTTTTCAGTCGCTGAGAAAGGAAAATTATCACCTACAGTGCCAGAAAATCACATCAAACGCATAGGGGAAAAAAATGAAAAGAAGCCTCCCAGCTCTTTCACCCTTTATATTACCCACTGCCATGATAAAGGAGTCAGGAGAAACAAACAAAAAGGAACAACAAAAAGCAAAAAATGGAATTAAGAGATTTCAAAGAGAGTGTGTCTATATTTTCAGTCTTATTTCTTCAGGGTTTAAAGTGTTGGCAGAAAACTTTATAATTTCAGTTCTTTGTGCATTTATAAAATTGCACGTTTCTTTAAAAAGTCCTTCCAAAATGGAATCTTCCTTTTCAGTGGAAATCTCAGTTCTGCTGCTTACTGTCCGAT